CCACCCCCCAAACCTCAGCTATGCACATTCCATGGGGCAGCCCCCCCCAACCCCATAAATGCACACTCCATGGGGCAGCCCCCCAACCCCAGTGGGGCTTCCATGCTTCTGCCTCGCCACGCTGGGGGCTCGCCCCCCTCCATCTGGGGGGGCGCGGGACGGGGGTCCCCCCACCCTGCGCCCCCTGGGTGGAGGGGGCCGAGCCCCCGGTGTGGGGTGTCCCCTGCCCCACATCTCAGTGCCTTCCAATAAACGAGCCTTTGGGCCCTTCCCCCACAGCCGGCTGCGTGTTGGGGGATGCTGGGGGGGGGTCCCCCAGGGAGCAGAGCCCAGGAGTCCTCAGGGAATGGCCCCATGGAGTTGTCCCCAAGGTCCCCATGGAATGGTCCCCAAGGGTCCCCATGGAGTGGTCCCCAAAGATCCCCATAGAGGGGTCCCCATGGAGTGGGCATCAAGGTCCCCATGGACCAGAACCCAAGTGTCCACATGGAGTGGTCCCCAAGTGGCCCCACGGTGCAGTTACCAAGGTCCCCAAGCAGTGGTCCCCAAGGACCCCCCATGGAGTTGCCCCCAAGGACCCCCATGGAGTTGCCCCCAAGGACCCCCATGGAGTGGTCCCCAAGGATCCTCATGGAATTGTCCCCAAGGACCCCCATGGAGTGGTCCCCCAGGTCTCCATGGAGCAGTCACCCAGGATCCCCAGGGAGTGGTCCCCAAGGAGTGGCCCCCAAAGGTCCCCATGGAGTGGTCCCCAAGGAGTGGCCCCCAAAGGTCCCCATGAAGTGGTCCCCAAGGAGTGGCCCCCAAAGGTCCCCATGAAGTGGTCCCCAAGGAGTGGTCCCCACAAGCCACTGGGCTCCAGGCCTTTATTTCACTCCCGTTGCTAAAACCGCGGCTGGCACCAGTCCCGCCGGACCAGTGATGGACCAGTGATGGACCAGTGCCAGACTGGTGCTGGACCAGGGCCAGGCCACTGCCCCACGGGCCACCAGTGCAGCCAAGGCGTGTGGGGCACAGTAGACGCCCCCACATCCCCATGGGGTGCCAGCACCCCCCCCTCGGTGCCACCTCCGGTGCTGGCAGCTCACGGGGACACATCGAGCCGCAGGGCCACGGGCAAGTGGTCGGAGAAGGTGGCCAGCTGGGTGATGAAGGAGACCCCCGCCACCTCCTGCGGGGAGGGGGGCGGTCAGGGCTGGGGGTGTGGGGACACGGGGACACACACACACACGGGGACCCCCGTGCTGCCCCCGGCACTCACCGTGCGCAGGGGGGGCGTCCCCCGGTGCTGCCGGAACAGGAGATAGTCCACGCGCCGGCCGTGCCAGGGGCCGGGGGCCAGCGGGGCGGGGTGGCCACTGGCCAGGATGGGGCCCGCCAGGTACTGCTGCCGCCCCCCCAGCTGCGACAGCGTCCTGTGGGGGGGACACGGGGACAGGGTGGCACAGGGACATGGTGGCACAGGGACATGGGGACAGGGTGGCACTGGGACATGGGGAGATGGTGGCATGGGGGATGCAGTGGCAGAGGGACACAGGGACATGGTGGCACAGGGACATGGTGGGATGGATATGGTGACACGGGGACATAGTGACAAAGGGACACAGTGGCATGGGAACATCAGGACATGGTGGCACAGGGACATGGTGGAACAGGGACATGGTGGAACAGGGACATGGTGGCATGGGGGATGCATTGGCACAGGGACATGGTGGCATGGGGACAGAGTGACACAGGGACATGGGGACAGGGTGACATGGGGATGTGGTGGTAGAGGAACACAGGGACATGGTGGCAGAGGGATATGGTGACATGGGGATACGGTGACATGGGGACATAGTGACACAGGAACACAGTGGCATGGGGACATGGTGGGACGGGGACATGGGGACAGGGTGGCATGGGGACAGGATGGGATGGGGATGCAGTGGCAGGAACATGGGGCCATGGGGACGGGGTGACATGGGGATGCAGTGGCAGGACCACAGGGACATGGTGGCATGGGGACAGGGTGGCACGGGGACATGGGGATGCAGTGGCACAGGAATACAGGGACATAGTGACACAGGGACATGGGGACATGGTGGCACAGGGACATGGTGGCACGGTGGCAGGTGCCTGGACTGGAGCATCCCCCACCCCCCATCCCCACCCAGGGCTGGGGGTGGCCTTTCCCCAGGGCTGTGTG